GCTTGTGTTTGCCTTTTGTCCAAGTTTCTGTCCCTTCCAAACCCATCACACACTCTTGTTCATTTTCCTGTTTTCATTACCTAAAAGTTTGCTAACGACAATCATATTTTGTATGAAACCGGACAAGTAGAAAGTGCCCATGCAGCTCTACCTGCACCGTTCTGTTTATGTTGCGCAATTGGAAGATAGGCTTTTACTGTTTTGAAAATATTCTTTAACTTATGGCGTTCTAAAATATCGCTAGGAAGCCGAGTTATGTTCGTAAAGAACATGTGGTTAAGCAGGGGTGGATAGCGCTTGTGTTGAGATGTTTCCGCATGTCCGGAAAGCATCCTTGCGGGGCAACTGTCAACAATCTATACTTCGTTTCAGCTTCGGTCCAGACGCAGCCGATGCTACAAGCGCGGGCATGTGGCCCAGAACAGTGCTTGCACTGCACGGGCGCGCGTGCTTGGCAGGGATGCTGAAAGCCCGGAGCTCGCGCTTGTAGCTTTGGCTGCGTCTGGACCGAAGCTGAAACGAAGTATAGTGACGAGCCGAAGCGGGACGGTAATGTTGGAGATATGAAACAGAATAGTACCCCGTGTTAAATATTTATTTGTTTGGTGGTCTGCTGGGCATCACTGAGGTGCTTTGTTTGGCTGTGTGCCTTTATTTTATGCTCACAGAATGTGCTGCACCTACATCTACTGCTCAGTTTCACTCGTGCAGAGGTCTACGACAGTTGACCGAACACAATTCCATAGAAGCATGTTTTCGAGAACGGGACCATTTTATCGAAGCTCAGTTTACAGCAACATCAGTTATTGAAAAAGGATGGCCATTTGGTGAATCTATTCAATTGGCATAAGCAAATCTGGAAGCCCCTAAATGCTAGCGCGATTCACTGAGGCGTGTTTGCCTATGCTTTGAGCACTCAGTCTTCTCTCTTAGGCTGTAAACCAGGCAGAATGTAATTGCAAAAACGGCAGGGTTGTGACGTGCACAAAACATGTCTATCATACTCTGAATGTGCTGGCCGCCCAAGCGAGCGATTCGCTGACTGGCTCGGCTTTACCGTCGGCCAAGGCAGAGCAAGCAGTCGAGTTTGGTGAATTGCGTTTTCCTGAATTTGCGAAAAGCAAGTTTGTTGCCATTTTCTCTAAACTGTGTGTCTTTTTGAAAGGATTCAATAAGAAGTTTCTAAACTGGTGCTTGAGAAAATAGGTGCCTCCACTCAGGCCCTACATGCCAATATTCTTAGATCTATCAGTTGACAAGCTCCACAGAAAAGCAGCGTTCGAAAACAGTTCTCTGTTGCTGGCACGCTAGCAGGTATAGGTAGATAACATTCCTAGCGCCACAGCGTCAATACCTCCATGGTCAACAGAGAACATTTTTTGAACAACGCTCTTTTTGCATTAAGTATTGTGAAGACCTTGTTTATTGTAAGGTATTGTGTTATTATAATAAAGTCACTTTCCGCCGCAGGTAATGTGCATCCAACGTTTCACCGGATCTGTCCGTATGACGGGCCGATCGTGTAGCAGGTGCCATTAAGCGGATGCGCCGCAAAAAGGCGTCGGGCGTTTTCCGAAGCTTGTCAACTGACCTAGATCTAAGAACATATGTACACACATTTCTACTATTGCCAAGCGGGTCCAGATATTGTTGGAGATCTGCTGTTTGCTAAAAATGTTTTTACAACGTTCACACGTTGGTCAATAAAAGCACATCTTTCTTTTTCAGTAATATTGACTAACATTTCAGCAATCAAGGAAGTTGACACCGAAATGTTGAAAGCAATAAAGAAAATAAAGCTAGGCTGTTTTTGGGTCCAGATTTATCCTCTTTTATTGTTAAGAACAGCACTGATTTTGTTTGCCCCATCATTGAAGCGTGCATATCCTCAGATTTAGAAATTAGTTTCTGCACACTTGAATACACGGTGCCATTTCTTCTTTCTTGCAAGCAAGTCTATATTTATTTCGATTTATAGCAAGCTTTTGATAAGATCAACCAGAAATTGCTTTTGTAAAAACCGTTATTGTATGGTGTAGCATTGCCACATTTAAAATGGTTTAATAACTGTAGGACGGTAGGGAGAAGCTTCCTACTTTTGGCAATGCTTCAAGCCCGGGCATTTGTAAGACACGCCCAGACGTTCTCATTCCGTTAGGGACTATATCTAACATATCGCCCAAATCGTGTTCGGGTGTTGAATAGACTTGTATGTTTTTGTACTGACCTGGAGGACTAAATGTAGGACAACAAGAATTGCAGGGAGGAGCCTCCTACATTTGGCAATGCTTTGGCATCTTGCGAGCCTCCAGAACGCACACGCAGACAGAGCATGAGAAAAGGCGACAAGTGCTTGCTGGAGGCTGGGCGCTAAGAGATGCCCTGCGTTTCTCATCTTGTCGACGACTATTAGCACAGAGATGTTCTGGTGGCATCTTTTTTCATTCACAACATCAGAGGCAGTTTGATACTTCAGCACCATGATCCAGGTAAGAAAAAAAAAATGTTTTTCATGCAAGGCTTGTCAAAATATTAGGTGCTGGAAAATATCAGCCATCCACATTTTCCTTATTAAGAACTCTACTCTATGTTCATGTCCTGCGGCCTTATTGAAAAGCACTGCAAAAGAGCACAAGCATGTACCTGATCTCGCCACACCAGTCTCCTCCTGGACAATAAATTCTGCTTGCTATGGTCACCAAATGTCAACAGATGCACATGCCAACACAGCGATTGAAGCCAGCTACCGCCACTCCATCTTCCAAATGTAGTCTCCTACCAATGCAACAGTAGCTTGGGCTCCCAAGCTATTCAATCCCCCCTGCAAGTGGTTTTATGGCATCCCTTCAATTTATTTTTTAAATTCTATATTTTTTCACCTTGTCACATGGGTGCTGCCATCTTAAAATCACGTCACATAGCCGCCATAAGGTGGCTTCAAATCGTCGCTCCTCCCTCCCCTTCCCGAACACGTTGCATTCGTTTTTTCGTCGAGTTTTACTGGAATTTTACAGCGAAGCTGTATCTGACACGTTGGTAAGTTTTCTTTTGTGTCTGTCAACAGAACAGTAGTGGACAGAAAAGCACTGTGCGCTCCTTGTCTTCTATCGTGTAGTTTTGACACTTGTAGTTTTCAATAAGAAAACCACAAGTGTCGGAACCACATGATAGATTAGGCGTGCACAATGCGAAACACATAGTGCTCCCCGCATGCGTCTCTCGGTAAAAATTGCGGTTTCATAAGTTGCCGTGGTAACGGCACCATACAGTCTTTCACATAGGCTCTTTCGCTGTTTACGAACATGAATTGCTGCTTGCGAATCAGCGACTTCTGATCGCACAGTCTTTGCAAGTCTGTCGAGCTTGCTTATGTCACCCATGCTAGAAAGGATAAATGCTACACGGACAACAAGGTTGGAGATTTAATGAGGGCATTCGGCTGTACAATTTAATGTCTTGGAGGAGGAAAGTTTGTTTACAGAATATTCAAAACTTATTAACATACTGTAAAGGACTTAAATTTTGCAAACCGCCTACATTTCGTAAAAAATAGGTCACGCGAACGATTCTGGTAAAACGTAAATACATTGGAATCTATATTGAGATTCCACCGCATCGCGAAAATTAGAACCCGCGAATTATTCCAAAACTTCAGCTTTAACGTGAATTGCGAAATATTGAGCCCGCAAAAAATAAGTCGTTTACAGCATCTCCCATTTCTTCGGTTTTTTTTTTTTGGCGTTCACCTGAAGAATTGGTGGTTAAACATTTCATCGACATTTCAGGTAGCTGTGTCAAGGGGGGTTTTGTTCATTCTTTCTGTGAATCGGAAGTTCGCTGGGACAACAAACTGGAGCACCGCCTGGTGGCATTTGCAAAGAAAAGGGTATTTACAAAAAACGTTTTGGTATTGTCCAGTGGGCAATCGTTGCAGGTGATACCACAGCTTCGCTGGCCAACTAACTGTCTTTACAGTGTGAATAGGAGCCCCAATTTTTTTATTTTGTCTTGCTTTGTGAAGTGTTGTCTGACACTTATATTTACTACCTAACTGCATACCATAATTATGCGTGCAACTTCTGCACATTATGTTATATATGCACCGTCGGGGAAAGGAATCAGCTTTAGCACTGGCGCACATAGAGTATGGAGAGGTCCCCAAGTCAGACAAGGGTTGAGAGGCCAATTATTGATGACACTGGAAATTTGCTTAAGTGTTAGTTGTGCAATAAGAAGCACAAGGTATATTTACACATTTACGATCTTAAAGAAGACTGCAAATATAGACAATGCAAGTAGTCACTGTTTCTTGAAAGCATCGTGCTCTGCCTTCATAACGAATCCAAAAGTTACTTTTGATTATATGGCGGAATCATGATTGTAGTAGAAACATTTGTTTGATCTATTTATGAATTTAAATAAACTACAAATAATTTATTTAGACACACAGGGTTGCCTCCCGGGGTGAAAAACGTGTCGAAGAAAACTTGAGTGCCTGGCAAAAGTGCCCGAGGCACATAATGCACGACGCTGAAAAGAGACCATCATCATGGAAATCGCTCGGGTGCAGCGATGTCGATGCCGGATTCACCTTCGACGCCGCTGAAAGAGCGTACCTGCTAGTGATGCAAAACTATCAATAGTAGCGAAAGTAGCCAGAAATCTGACACGATAGCAAAAAAACTATCGATAGTCGAATATCGAAAAACTAGACACTACTATCAATAGTCGACTGTCGAAAAGCTATGGATAGTACTATCGATAGTCAACTATCGTAAACCTATCGATAGTACTGTCAACGGTTTACTATCGATAGTCTTGCGACACTAGTAGTTTGCGTCGCTGTCTTCTTTTTCTCACTTTATTTTTTCAAATGGGACACCAACTAGCCCAAGCACTTACCATCCCAACTTGGTTCAACTTCCAGTGATGATGAAGATGGGAGTTTGGGCGGAGAGGAGGAAGGGAGGTGAGCGGCGGTGCGGCATTTGTGTCCGCTCTAGTGGTGCAAAACTATCAATAGTATTGATAGTCAATTTATTGATAGCTTTGAATCATTAGTACATGTTCAAACAAATAACATCTGTCTACACAAATCCATGAAGGGGTACCTGGCATTTGACTGAGCCAAGCTTGCTGGAGGCCCAATTCTCTTGCACGATTTAATTTTATTTCACAAATTATATACTAGAAGACAAGACTTTGATTGGCGGGTTTGTCTCTTATCGCACATAACAAAGCCGCGAGCCCGCTGAAACCAAAATCCATCCAAACTAAAGCCATTCTATGGCACCATGTGTGTCAATGCCCTGTGTCCACCAGTCAGGTAACTGCCGAGATGAAAAGGTCTATAGGAATACCGAGTTCGTGTAAAAGATAGCACACCACGTCCAGTTGAGTTTAGCTCTTACTCACTTGCCGGGCAAGCACGCCGGCAAGCTTGCGCAAAGGTAGCACAAGAGAAACAAGTGATACACACTAGCGTACATAACTTCAAACACAAAGAAAACTTCGTAGCCCTTATTGCCGGTAGCATTTCTTTCCAAGTGTAAATGGGTGAAAACCGATGCCATGATCTTCTGAAAAACTTCAGACATAGTGGCGAGAAAAATTAAAAACTGAGGAGATTCATTTCCTTTCTACCAAAATTTTTGTATCTTAACCTTTCAGTAATCACCCGACATATTTCAGAGTAATCTGAACCTTGGATTAACCACACTCTTTGTACAGTGGAATCTCATTAGTTCAAGCCCTCTTAATTCAAACTCGCAAATAATTCAAGCTAACATGCAGGTCCCATCCTATATGTTTCTAGAAAGGAAACTTCCGGCAATTTAAACTCATACAATGTTTTGGTCCCCCTCGGGTTCAAACTAACAAGATTCGACTGTAAGATGTGGTCGGCAGGCAATGCGCGCTGTCTTAAGAAATACCAACAATTTATATGACAGAAAGACCTGAGGGGATGGGGGACAAGACTTGATCCAGGCACTGGGCCTAAAGAGAAGTTCCATCTTGCAAGGCCTGATCTATGATTCAGGGCATTTTCAACCTACGGTATATGTAGAGAATGAAAGTGCTTACCGGGTGAACAGAAACAGTATGTTATCCGAACATGTAGGGCAACGCAAAGCCGTACATGTAGAGAGTTTGGTCAATGGGAGGCGCTGGCAGAGTCAGGGCGTGCGGCAGAGTCGGAAAGAGGGCTTGGCATGGTCTCTTGACCAACCAGAAGCCGAAAAGAATCCCCTAGCGGTGGTAGCGGCGAACAGTTCTGATCAAAAGTCTATGTTCGTATATGGTTTTAATAAGCGCGTAAAAGTGAAGTGTAGTAACTCTTCGTGGTTGAAAATAGGGTGCACGTGTTGTTTTGATCATGATCATGCAGAAAGATGTAAGAAACGAATGCGCCGCGAAACTCTGTTTTGCGCGGACAGAGTGTGACCGTTCGGACGGCAGATTCCCGGCCCTGGGTGCTTGGCGTAAGGATTATGTCGATCGTTCCGCTAGTCGCACTCTTACACCATCTTTTTGGATTAACGTGATTGAAACATCACGTGTACCATATTTTCAGCCATTGAGAGTTACTCCAATGCAGTTATCAGGTTTGTTTCTTGCGACCACCGCCAGGGTATTATTTCCGGGTTCTGGTTGGTCACATTCAAATTTCTGAAGACGCCCTGGAACACGCCCAGTCCGCTTTCGGCCAATGGCGCCTCCTCATTTGTCTCCTATACTTCCCAATGAATGGCCAAACTCTCTACATTTAAGGCTCTGGGGCAACGCACAGTAGTCAAGTATACAGTAAACGCTCACTTGAGCGAACGTCAGTTTAAAAAATATGTCGGCACACGGGAAATATTGCACACGTCGACACACGGGAAATACCGCAAAAAAATAAAGCAGACACTGTCACGACTTTGCAAGGTAAAACCGGAGAGGCGAAGAGCGGAAGAATAGACCCCTTGCAAAACGTACAGCGCCACGGCGGCAGGGAATTTCGGGAACCCTCGGTACAAATCATGCGCTTTCTCGTTGCACCTTTGCGACTGCCCACGTGTCCCGGCAGCTACCGCCAGCAGCCGTTGCAGCCATCCCGCCCATCCGCCAAGTCGTTTGTCATTGGCGGCGTACTGTATCTGTAACAGCGTAAAGGCATCGCGACAGGTGAGCTTATTTGAATATGTTATTCGTCGTAACTGAAGTGTCACCGAATCCACTTATTTTGCACCGCAAGCAAGCAAGCAAAACTTTACTTTGTGTAAGGGCCTACGTCCTGGTCCGGACGGTCCGTCCGGCGCACGTCTCGCGGATGGATTCCGCAAGGGGACTGGAGTGATTAATTAGTGCTTCTAGTGCGGTGGGTATGTCGGTGCCCATGGGTAGAGCCAGCCATTCCTCCCAAGAAATGATGTGTGAGAGGGTTGGGGGAAGGGTGGGTGGGTTACGAGACCAGTAGGTATGAGGGATGGAAGGGTATTCTCCGCATTTTGGGCAGGTGGGGGAGTCGGGTCGTTTGTAGATGTGGTGGAAGATGTAGTGCGATGAAAGAGAGTTGGTCTGGGCTTGCCTGACGAGGGAGGATTGTTGCCTAGACATGGTCTTTGGAGGGTGAGGGTAAATGGTCCGCTCTTCACGTTGTTCTTTTAACCTCGACTTCCGCAGGGCTCTGCGAGCGTTCCTTGTTGCGCCTACCGAGTAGATAGCTGGCCATGAAGAGACGGGACCCGGGGAGTTCTCGAGGGTGAGACGATGGGCTGTCTCATTACCCTCCACGCATTGGTGGCCAGGCATCCATACGAGGCGGAACTTTTTGTCCGGGTAGCAAACATGTATTTCACAGATTAGGTTATCCGTTTTAAGTGTAAGGTGTTGTCGATGTAGTTTCGTATTCTTCCAAATCGTCGATCGTTGGGGGTTCTGTGAAGGTTTCGGAGTAATGTATATTAGTGCGTGTGTTAAAGGGCAACTCCGATTCATTTTCAATATTTAGAAAACTATGTAGCCCTCTTCAGTATCATATAGGAAGACCCCATGTCAAATATTACGATCTAATTCCGCCTATATATTTATATAGTTATCCGTTTTAAGTGTAAGGTGTTGTCGATGTAGTTTCGTATTCTTCCAAATCGTCGATCGTTGGGGGTTCTGTGAAGGTTTCGGAGTAATGTATATTAGTGCGTGTGTTAAAGGGCAACTCCGATTCATTTTCAATATTTAGAAAACTATGTAGCCCTCTTCAGTATCATATAGGAAGACCCCATGTCAAATATTACGATCTAATTCCGCCTATATATTTATATAGTTATCCGTTTTAAGTGTAAGGTGTTGTCGATGTAGTTTCGTATTCTTCCAAATCGTCGATCGTTGGGGGTTCTGTGAAGGTTTCGGAGTAATGTATATTAGTGCGTGCGTTAAAGGGCAACTCCGCTTCATTTTCGATATTTAGAAAACTATGTAGCCCTCTTCAGTATCATATAGGAAGACCCCATGTCAAATATTACGATCTAATTCCGCCTATATATTTATATAGTTATCCGTTTTAAGTGTAAGGTGTTGTCGATGCAGTTTCGTATTCTTCCAAATCGTCGATCGTTGGGGGTTCTGTGAAGGTTTCGGAGTAATGTATATTAGTGCGTGTGTTAAAGGGCAACTCCGCTTCATTTTCGATATTTAGAAAACTATGTAGCCCTCTTCAGTATCATATAGGAAGACCCCATGTCAAATATTACGATCTAATTCCGCCTATATATTTATTAAACTGGCCAGCAAACCTTCAAGTGAGCCAAGTGGCCGAAATCTGCCAACTCTAGCATGCGGCGGGAGGCGCAATCATCAGCGCAGTCAATGCCAAGTAAAAAAAGGTTTGTGCCGAGTCTAGACACTGCTGCAAGATTGCCGAGCCAGGAAACCTAACCCAGCCACCACTAAATGTGTTTCGTTTCAAAATGGCCTAATTGGCAAGACTGAACTGCCACCAAATGTGTTCCGTTGTACAGCACCAAAGTACATCACCAGACATGAGCGTCAAAAAATATACTTACAATGGCTAGCGACGCCTCATAAAAGCCATGCGATGACCCTCTGCTTGGCCAGTTAAGCCACACGCAGTACCGTGCAGGGTACAGGACGGCATCCATGAGCCGGCCGGTGCGTCGACCCAGGGTCCCGCCCATAGTGTTCCGCTGCTGCCTTGAACAAGGTGAAAGCCAGCTCATTGATGTCATGGTCCTCGGGACCTGTGGTGTGTAACCATCGTGTTTAAGTTTTACAGTCACTGACCAATATTTCGGAACATGAAGGGGTCGCACAAAGCTCAGAATAATCGAGCAGTCCAGAAAAATGAATTTAGCCTAAAAATCACTTTATTGCAATTTTAAGCGCAAAGTTGCTGCAGAAAGTAATTGATACAATAGGTTTGTGATAATTCAAACTGATATTTCGTACTTCCGGTTCATTTAAACAGACTTGAAAATTTTGGTTGTCCCGCTATGTTTTTAATGTATTTATAAGCGACTTAATTCAAACGGCGTTTTCGCTTAAAGGGCCCATGAGACAAATTTTGGCTGGAATAAATCAATTTATATTGGGATTTTACTAATAACACATCGTTCAGTGGGCCAAAAGAAAAAAGGTAGAAAGTCAAAAGCCTGACTTTCGGTACGAAAAATCGAAAACACAAGGGACTATTTCGTAACTCCTTTCCTTCGTAATCTCTCTGCCTTTTCACTGTGATACATCCGCGGTCCCCGTAGCGCGTTGCAAAGCCCCCCCCCCCCCCCCCCCCCCCCCAGCGCGTCGCCAGGTCCAAACGCACGTCACACGGCACCGGACCTCACTTAATCCCTTCACCCCTAAGCTGACATTGTGGTGGAAGCTACGTGCTTGTCGGACAATCAGCCGCCTCCCTTTCATCACCTGACCTCATTCTCTGCGCGTGGGTATGCGCGAGAGAGCGTGATCACGTGGCAAAAATGTGGCTGGCCCAACGAGCACGTAGCTTCCGCAGCACTGTCACCTTCGGGGTGATTGAGGTGGGGAAAGCAACTTTTGTCTGAATTTTGAGCGACGGGCTAATCTTTTAGGGGGACAATGGCTGTGTCCCGGTACTCAAACAAGAGTCCGAGCAAGAGGGGACTGCCCCGTTTCCATCTTCTTGAACTGTTTGGTAGAATGCGCGAGTTATGAGTTGAAGAGGAAAGCTAAACAGGAAAAAGTTGGAAAAGCGTTTCATGACTCCTTTAATTCATACTTTTGTACTCGCAGCCCTGTTGAGTATGCTTCTCTCCGAGCACCGGTGCAGCGCAGAGAAGCAATACCTGCGGAGCGTGCTTTCATGAGTGTTCTTTCTCTGCAGTGCACCGGTGCTCATAAAGAAGCACACTCAACGGGGCTCAAGCGGGCACACATTAGCGGAAAACAGCGTTCACATTATGTGCTTCAAGACTAGCAATGATGACCAAGACGACATCGAGGATGAGGACCAGCTCACTGGCATCATGCTTTCTGGCCTTGAAGCACATAATGTGAACGCCGAGCAGGCGGAATATGCTAGTCTTGACGATGATGTGTGTGTTTGTCGTGATGACTCATTAGAGGACATAGTACAGGAAGTAATGCCAGCACAGTGCAGCAGTGAGAGTGAAGATGACAATGAAGAAAGGGATGACTTGCTACCAACTGTCACAGCCATAGCTTTGAGCACATCGCTCAGCTCCGGAAGTTTCTGTCTGCAAAGGAAGAGTCCCGTAAAGAGCTACTTGCATTGGCTGGTATTGAAAATTTTATTTTGAGACTGTATGTGCTGACTAAACAGTCCACAATCGACAAATTTTTTGCCGGATGAATAAACTCAATGTCACAGCTCTTTCACTAATGTGTTATGCCTGTACTTGCTTATAATTAGGCCTATGTAGAGGAAACTGGCAAAAATCTGCTTTGTATGAGTAGCTATCCATGTAACAAATCATAATGCTGTCCAGTATCATATTTGGATGAATTTCTGATAATTCAAACTAAAATCTGTGACTTCCTGGAGTTTGAATTAATGAGACTCTACTGTAGTTTACTGTACGGCATTTCGCATTCAGCGAGTCATTTTGTCACTGTACACAGACGAAAGCATAAAAGCGTTCGGACAAGTTACGCATTCACGGCTGCACGATGCTGGCAACTGTAGGGCCAGTCGTTAGACTTTGCCCTTGGTGAAAGAGTCCTGTTTGTAACACTGTGCCGCTGGAGCAAATGCACAGATTGATTGCTACTTGGCGATACAACCGCTGCCTTCTCACGTCGACACATGGGAAATACCGCAAACAAAAGCAGACACCGTCACGACTTCGTAAGGTGAAACCGGAGAGGTCAAGAGCGGAAGAATTGCTTGAGTGTTGACGTGCTATGTCGCATCAACAGCAGAGGCCTGCCATTAAAAAAAAAAATACTAGTTTGCAGTTTCTTTGCTGGACGTGACGTCACGACAACTGATGGCAGCGATTGGCTGGCAGAGTGATGTAGATTCTTTTGGGGGGAATTTGCCACTGAATTCATAACCCGACATCAAATGTAGTTTCTAAACATGGCAGATATAATCGGGCCAGTTTCCGTCCACAATGCTGCCACCTAGTCTGTCGCACAGATTATTTCCGTTGCTAAGGGGCAATTGGGGCTTTATGTAACCATAGGCTGGACATGCGTGTAGGAAAAATAATATGAATGACCGACCAGATCATTGACTCTTCAAACCGACAAGTCAACATTTTTTTTGTTTTTTCTTCATTTTTAGTGGCTGTCGTGTAACATCGAAGTATAAGTACCAAGTAAAATAAAACTAAAGAAAAAGTACATAACGTAAGGTGTACATGAACTCTATAGATATAATACCAGTCCCAATGGTTTAGCAAAGAAGCCAGTCTTCTCCGAAAACCCCCTCTCTCACTTGAGTCCGTTTTCTAATATTTGAATCTTAAAAAGAAGTTGCCCCGAAAAAGCGTCAGAAAATGCACAAAACAAAGTGACAGTGCCTAAAAAGGTCACACCTGCCTTTTCACATGGCTCTCGGAACTACATGCAGTGCAGGATGCAGAACGGTACCCATGGGCTAGCTGCAGTTGTAACCCAGTGCTTGTAGTATATCGCAGCTGCTTGGAAGGGAGAGAGGCCACCTCCCTCATGCCGTGGTACCGGAAAAAGCAATACCAATTAGCCGCAGGCGTCGAGCACCTTGTATTTCTGTGCATCCACAAAGCATTTCTGGGACAGCAACGACAGAAAACTTCAGTAACACAGTGAACAAAAAAGAGACCAAAAGAGTAGGCATGCAGGCGAGCGTGAATTGTAGACACAGCTAAAACTCAAGGCACAAGGAAGCAGAAAGAGGGCACATGAAGAGGCCTTTCGACTTCCTTGCATGTCGGGCTTGAGTCTCGTACCGGGTAGTAAGAAGCAACAATACTGGTTCCCTAGCCTTTCCTGTCTCAACAAGCCTTGGAACAAAGATATCCTACTCGTCATTCATCTCGGGCGGATTAAAGTGCACGCTGCGGCAGTAAACTGCCTCGAAGGGGCTCAACTCACACTTCTAAGAGAATGATTGGCGAGCAACTTCTCCATTGTGTACTACGTGCACTCCATGTTTTAAAGGGGTACTTCGGCATTTTCTTCATTGTCCCCGATTTGCCTAAAAACTTGCTAAGCACATCAACAAACATCGCTGAAATAGTAACCGAAATATCTGGCCGAAATAGCTTTTTTTTCGCAAAGTTACAGAATTTACAATTTTGGTCATCATTCTGTTTTTCAAAGTGAAAAGCTCAACCAACAACATTGAAATTGAGACGTCATGGGAAGGCAAAGGTTCACTCTTAGGGCTGTAGACTTTGTTCACAACTGATCCCAAACAGTTTCATTGTGTCAAAAGAATGCTTTGGAAGGTCGCCCCAAATCCCACCCAGCAGCACGAAACAAATGCTCGGCATAGTTCATTTCTACACAGCCGCTCGAACCGTGAGCCTGTCATCCCGCGACGCAAGCACGTAACTAGAAGGGGTTCATGGAGCCCAGCCCGGCCCGGCCCGCCGCTGCCGCCCACGTCCCCAAAACAAAATCCTGGCTGTGTTCCTGCGTGACGTCACGGCAAGGAAAAGCACAAGTATATTTCAATCTTGGATTGGCATCATACACGACAGTGGTAGGAACATTACTTGTGTCGAGCTAGAGAAGCCATATTGGGGGCTACCCCAGCTACGTCCACACTGGCTTTCATGGCAGTTATGTGCGATGCAGACAGCTTTCACTATTTCAACCGAGTGCCGAGGCAAACACAGAAGCAGCCACATAAGACAATCAGGAAAAGACGCCGAGTTGTACAGGCTAAGGAGGAAGGACATAGTGCAGCGAGCTATCTAGTCCAGGCTATTCCTCTGAGAAATACAGTCGGTGGAAATGTAGGTCAGTTATTCCCGCCATTAATTTAGGTAACCAATGCAAGCATTACACTATTTTGCATATTTCTCTACTGCAACGCTAATCATCCGCAGCAGAAACAACGCCCCAAACTAAAAAGAAGTCTCGTTACATTGTTAACACAGACATCAACTCCGTAAGAGAGCTGGAGTTCATCAAAGCACAACCGAGAATCTCTCGGAAGTACTTGGTTCCTTTTCAGTAGTTATTGAATGAAAACACAGTGCAGTGGTGATTACCATCAGCACAGCCTTGCCACTGGCACTGCTGTCCCTCGGGTGGCACATGCACGACATGGCCTGCAAGCCACATATATGCCTAAAAGAAAGCTGCATAGGATGCACTTACCTTGGCTAGCGTCGCCACCCAGCGAGTTTGCACAAACCCTCTGCATGGCACGCAGTGCTGTTCAGAACAGAGCGCCACTGGCTAGCCAGTTAATGCGAAGGCTTGTAGTGTCTTGCTGCTGCCTTGGCAAAGCTGCAAGTCACCTCTTTCACGCCTTGTGGTGCCCATCAGCTTCAAAAGAAACGGTGTTGAGTCGCGACCAGCTATAACCTGTCGCACAAGGGAGAAAAGGGTGTGAATGTGCAGACTCCTATCTGTTTGCTTTTGTCTAGCGTGTGAGTTTTGTTTGAGA